CTGTTTGGGAAGGATTAGGAGGTGTGGCCTTCCTGGAGGAAGTGTGTCACTAGGGGTGGGCTTTGAGGTTTCAAAAGTCCATGCCCAGTCCCAGTTTCCCTCTCTGCCTCCTGCTTATGGATCGGATGTAAGCTGTCAGCTATGGCCCCAGCACCATGTCTGCCTGCCTGCTGCTATGTTCCCCACCGTGATGGTTAGGAACTCACCCTCTGAAATGGTAAACAGGCCCTCAGTTAAATGCCTTCTTTTACAAGTTGCTTTGGCCCTCCTGTCTCTTCACAGCGATAGAACAGTAACTAAGGCCATCCCCATCGCTGAATAAACAGGGCATGATAGCAAACACCTATAATCCCAGTACTCTAGAGGTGGGGGTGGGAGAGGACCAAGCAGCTCAAGGTCACTTTCCCCAGGGACACAGCAAGTTTTGAGGCCAGCCTGTGAGACCCTGTCTCAACAAAACAATACAATAAGGCTCACTGACGGGGGCGGCGCAGTTAGGCAAGACAGAAAGTCTCGTACTTAGCATGAATGATAGAAAGGGGGAAATACTCCAGTGCAAACCCCACTTCATGCCCAAGCCGTCGGCCCAACCTGCCCATCTCTCCAGATGGACGTGGCTGCCACTCCCCGCCCCTGCTGGGAAGAAAAACACCACTCTGGACGATTGCCACTTCCCGGGAATAGCCAGCGACCTGCAGACGCGGATGAGCCCGAAGACCTGAGTCAGATTGGTAAACGCAGCCTGGACTCAGCACCTGCAGAGAAAATGCAAGGGGTGCTCCTCCTCGCGGGCACCAGTCCGAGCCGCAGTGCTGACTCACGGCGCCCTTTGAAGTCCTTTGGCCCGGTATCAGTGAGCGCTAAGAAAAACCCTCCATGCCAATTTCCACCGTTCCCCCAGTACTTCAAAAAGATGAGGCCGGGCGGGAAGCTCAAGAGAGCGCGCCCACAGCCGCACCGCCTGTAATCCAGGAAATTACAGGCACTGCCTCACCACGAAAGGCACACAGGGCAGGTGCCTCTGCAAACCCCTCCTTCTCACCACGGGGCCCCCGCTGACGGTGAAGAGGAGCCACTGCCCCTGAACTTCCTAGCACTTAAGAAGAAATACAGGATTTAGCATCTGTTTGTTTCAGAAATACTTGCTAAAAACGGGTCTGCCAAAAGGCCACCTCTAAAATTAGTCATGTCTCCTGCTCCGCAAAACATAGTAAAGGGTAATTTTAGTAACGTCTCCTCTCCAGGTACCTGGTACCGTTGTGTTCCGCGCGTGATGACTTGCAGCTTACTGAGCAGGCAGTCCTTGGTTTTAGCCCCGAAATAGCTCTAATGAAATGTATAAATGAGCTTTTTTTAAAAATAAAAATCAAAGATTAGAATGAGTTATCTGAAATAGCTCAGTGCACCCTTGGCCTCTTCCTCACAGGTGAGGTGGAGGTTAGCGAAGGCGGCGCCCCTTCTGTGCCCTGCTGGAGAGTTAAGTTTGCCTGCCAAGCCGGCTGGGTCCCAGGCGGTCTTGTTCTTTCCCCCCCACCAAGTTTCTTTGCTTTGTTCTTCAGTATTTTTAATTTTATTACATTTACCAGCGGGAGGGAGGGGGCGTGCACCGAAGTGCACCTGTGGCAGTCGAGGGTCAGAGGGCAACTCTCGGGGCTTGTCTTCCGCCAAGGGAAGACAGGGAGGAACTGTGGGTCATCTGGCTTGCCAGCAGACTCCTTTAACCACTGAGCCATTTCAGCTATACTCTATCCATGTTTTGAACATGAGGTAGTAACTTTGCGGGGGGGCCTAACACAAGTATGTCTTACCTACCGTGAAGCACTGTGCAGCCTCCCCCGGGCTGTCAGAGTTGCCAGCCCCTATTCCTGCTCAGCAACTTTGTTCTCTACCTCAAAGCCACAGTGACGGTTGCTTGTCAGAACCTAATGCATGATTCCCGGCCCAAACGTCACTTTTGAGAACACAGTAATTAAGAACCTCACATGATCAAGGGGAAATTTATTTTTATATAGCCAGATGGACAGATCTCACAGTCTTCACCGAAAGCTAAAGGAAAGCAAAATTAGGTCCCAGCCCTAAAGCGTCCTTTGTGTCCAGCAGTAAAGGGGCCATCTAGGTTCAGGTTACTCCCAACCAACTTTAAAGGCCACTGAGGTGAAAACAATGCCCTGCCCCGCCCTGCCCTGCAGGCAGCAGCAGCAAGAGGAGCCTTTCGAGATAGGGCTGAGCCCAAAATAAAAGAGGAGAGAAGAGAACTTGTTTGTCACCTGGACTAAGCCAGAAACACCAGGCAAACCCAGGAGGATTTTATCCAAAGCGCTTTGGAAATGAGCACCTTATCCAAAACACCCCCCACCACCACCACCCACGCTGCTTCAAACGCCTTCAACTAACAAGAGTCTGAATTTGGCCACAAATCAACCAAAATAAAACACATGCTTTGCTAGGAGATGCTCTGAAACAGGCGGAATCTGAGGTGCTGTGCCCTCCTGTTTCCCTCCATCACCTGGTCCAGGCACCCACTTCTCAGGACAAGCTCCTTCTGAAGCCTTCCACGCTTAGTGCTCACTGCAGTATTCATCGCTGCGTTCTTAAAAAGAAAACCTGTACCCACTAAAAATGGAAGGAAAAGATGAAAGGCTTCACCTAAAAGCAAGCATCCCAAGAATGGGCAATGGAGGGTATGCTGAAGGCAGGCTTCACACCAGCCGCTGCCCCTGGGGGAAGGGCAAATGGCTTGAGGTTGCCTTCACTTTTCCTTTAGCTTTGCTTAGTAAGGCAAAACCCAAAAGAAAAGAGGGCTGGGGACTCATTAACTCACTGATATCTCTCTCTCCCTCCCCTCGCCTTCTCATCTCTACAGTCTGCTAAAGCCCACATCTATTAGTTAAGCACAAAAGGTGTAGGGTTAGGGAGATGAAAAGCCATGAGTGACTCCACTGTTTCTTTAAAGTTCACAACTGAAGGAGCTAAAAACCCAGGTTCCTCCTGATGCAGCCTTGTCCCCAGAGCGGGGATTCTCCCGGCTAGAGAAAAGCACAGCAGGAATGACCAAGTATCCCTTCCTGGCCTCCATCCAGGACCAGAGTCTCTAATTAGACCAGGGAAATAATTTTATATCCACTGAGCATCTCCTCACTGCAAAGATGAATTGAGCCATCATAGAGACAGGAGGAAAGGGACTCTCTGCCTGGGCCCCAGTTGAGTAGAAATTCCTTGTATTCCAAGGACTCTTCATTGGGCAAGAGTAGCACAGGAGACCAGAAGTGAAGCGGGGAGGGGGGGGGGGGTTGTTGGAGGACAGGGGTAAAGGGCTGAACTTGGAATACATCCCCAGGCAGTCAGCCAAGATCAAAAGTGTTATGTCATGGGGCAAAACTACACCATTGAGGAGCTGAGGTCCAGCCCGACGTGGCAAGAACCTCTAAGGAACCAGGAGCAATAGGACAGGAGAAAGGGAGGCACTCGCCACTGTACAACTAACATGGAGATTCCCCTTCTTAAAGAGCTTATTCACATGGCCTGCCTGAATCCTATAGGTTAGGCGTAAAAACCAACTCCTTCACCTCTCCCCACAAGAACAGGAACGTGACTTCACGTTCACAGAGTCACCCAGCAACCCACCACCCTGAGCGGACCTCAGTACGTCAGATAGGCAGCCCACGGCACACGGAAGAGTAAATAAACTTTTGCTTACTCCGATTAGAACGCCGAGTGCCGGGTCTGAAGAGTTTGTTCTTCTCTGAAGAGCTAAAGTGAGCTCATACTGCACTCTTGCTTTTTGCTTGGGAATTCAGGCAAGAGGTGCTTTTGAAAGTGACTCAGGCTAGCCCTGCTTACCCAGTATGAAGGGGCACCCCACTTGGGACGGCAACAAGAGGGCAATTCTAAGGATGATGGAGTCCATTGCTCAGATGTAGGGGTCTCCAAGACAACAGAAACCAGAAGGGAAACAAAGTATCAGGAGGCTACCTTAGCAAGGCAAGTGCAGCAGCTTGGGCCTGTCACCAGAGTTCTCCCGATTTAACACTGTGGCAAACTCCTAGGCTGGGCAGGGGAACCTAGAGCAGCAGGCGCTAGGGTTTGTCCCTCAGGCTATTCGCTTCCAGGACCCTCTGAGCGCTCCTCCTCCCGCATGAACCCCCAGCCTGGGGGAAGTGTTGGAGTATGATGCCTGAGTGAGGATACCAGCTTGGCAGCCAGGGGTAACTCCCTGTGTGGGGCCACCCAGCCTCTAAAGTAAGGCAGCCTCTTAGGTTTCTTCTCACAAATCTAAGTTACACCTGGCCTGGCAAGAGTTCACACCCTCTAACTTCTAATTAGGTCCAAGTAGTGTCACTCCAGTGGGGGAGGGGTTCCTTTCCTCTACCCTCCCCTAGAAAGATAAAAAGGTATCTCCAAATCTCTAAAGTCCGGGGGGGGGGGTGGCTAGCTGTGCAGTTCTGCACCTGCCAAAAGCAGGATCTTTACAGCCCACGCGGGTGGAGAAGGTAGTTTCCTGGGCCTCCGCTCTCTTCCACGTCCTCACCAGAGCCCAGGAGGGACGAAACTCTAAGCAGTCGCAGAGACTGGCTGCCCTGTCCTCCCGCCTCACATTCCAGAAGCAAGGCTGACACCCCCTGCTCCCTACCACCCCCACCCCAAACACACACCGGGTCTAGATCTAGTTCCATCGTCCCTAAGGTCAGAAACAGGAGGACCCCCAACGACAACTCTATGCCCGCGCCCCCCCCCGCCCCCTTCTCTGGCGTCCGCCAGGCGGCACCCTTCCAAAACAAAACAGAAAGGCAGTGCGGGGTAGTTTCGCGGGTACATCTATCTGTCCGGGTCCCCCACCCCACGAGTCTGACCCCCCGCCCCAATCACCCATCAGTGAATGCCTGGTGGCCCACTGCAAGAGCCTGAGAGTGCGTCTAGCTCTACGGGGTTGGAAAGTCAGGCAGACTGCTCGCAGGACAGTGCTCCAGGTCCTCCCGCCAGGCCTGCGCGCCCGGGCTCACCTTCTCTCCGGTCAGCACGTGCAGCCCCTCGCGCACCTTGGCGAAGGAGCCCTCGCCCAGCTTCCTGCTGCCGATCAGGTAGTTGCCCACGCGCTTGTGGTGCTGGAAGTCCCGGAGCCGCTCGCGGGACACGCCACTCACCCAGGCGGGCAGGAAACTTCCCTCGCAGGCCGCCGCCGGCCTGGCTGCGTCCTCCGAGCCCCCGTCGCCCCCCGGCGCCGCCGGCTCGCCCAGGAGCCCGTCCCCAGCCGCTGCCGGCATCGCGCCCGCTCGGCTCCCGCGCTCGCAGCCGCTCCTCCTCCGGCTCCCCGGACTGCCCCGGCACCTCCTGCCGCCGCCCTGGGCCCGGCCCCGCCCGGCCCGGGTCTTCGCGCTCACGCCCCCCGCGCCTTCTTGCGAGCGCGGCGCGCAGACAATAGCTGGCGACGGGGCGACCGGGGACCCGCCCCCGAGAAGTTCGTCCTCGGAGGATCGGTCGCCTAGATCGCGTCCGCCGTCCCGTCGGGTACCCTGCTCGGGTGCTGGGCGCAGCGGCTGCTAGTCCAAGAGGGGCGCAGTCGGGTGGCGAGGTCCCCCAAACACAGGCGCCGCCGCCCTCTAGCCCGCCGGGTCGTCAGCGGTGCACCCCGGGGCTGCTCCCGCCGGAGAGGAGCGCGCGGCGGGTTGCAGGCGCCCTCTGGAAGGCAGCAGAAGAAAGCCTCATTCAGTTTAAATTTGCAGAAATTTAATCCGCTCGCAGGCGGCGGGGACAGACGAGAGCTCCACTCGGCAGCCTGAGCACTTTCAAATCCCTCGTAGCCCCTCCTTCCTTCCCCGCGCGCAACAGCCGAACTCGACCCTTTCTGGAGAGGGGAGGGGAAGGGAGCGGTGGAGTGGGCGGCGAAGCCACCTGAGCGCCAGACAGGGGGACCCCGCGCGGCCACGGAGACGCGCGCTCCCGGGCTGCCCAAGACCTGCCGCCTCTGGCGGCGCGGATCAGGCTGCTTCTGGGCTTGAGCTTTCTGGACCTTTCCCGGGTGAATTTCCGCACTAGCCGCACCCACCAGGTTCAGGGGAAAGACAAAAAAGGAGCTCTGGACTATAGGAGGGTGGAGTACTCAGCCCAGAACCCGGCACACAGTAGGGACCATGGATGGATGGATGGATGGATGGATGGATGGATGGATGGATGGACGGACGGACGGACGGACGGGAACGTAGCAGGCTGTGCTCGCACGCAGACCAGATTGCTGGGTTGGTGAAGAAGCAGCCGCCACAGTTAACTGTAGTGGCGGCAGCTTAGGAACCAGGGCGTTTGCTGCCTATGCTTGTACGTTTGCACCCTCTCTGCTTTCCATAGCGATGATGTCGGTGGTTGCTGGATGATCCGGACCAGAGCTTTGCAGCTCTGGATGCTTTTGTTCTGTGGGCCCTGTGACTGTACTGATCTCACATAAACAATTACATCTGTTCCGAGACACCTACCAGATATCTCCAGAATCTTCAACATCTTCCTGAACTGAAAAGGGTATTCAATCCTCCTAACAGCCCAGAGCTCCTCTTTCTCTTTCCCCTGAACAAATCAAGGATGCAGACAGGCTTTTCCAAAATGCGACCTGTTGAGGTGGCCGTGTCTAATGCAAAGAATTTAACCTCTGATCACACATCATCTGAGCTCAACAGGAGGATTCCATTCTAACAAAGTTCATTTCATTGTTTATCCTGCAGTAAACAGGTATGACATCATCGATCCACATTAATACTCTGAGGTGGGGGAGGGGATACAGTTATCACCCTTCAAGGAGGGAAGTGAAGGGGGGAGTCCCTGACCCATCTGAAAAATAACCCGAAAAATGCCCGTTTCCAGGTTTCAGCGTCAGTTGTTATGAACTACGGACTGTCAGTCTCCGCCCTTGCTGTGATGACCCAGTCTGGTGCTTGTCTTCTGCTGGGGTCCCCTGGCTCTGCATTTCCCACATTAAAGACAGGCTTTCCGCTGCTTTCTTGCTGTACTTAAGGGACTTCTTAATTCCTACGTTTTCTGCAGGGCTCATCCAATCGCTCTCGTGTTTCTAATTCAGTAATTTAATTTTAAGGAGGCGGGAGGTGGGGAAAGAGGGGGATGCTAGGTCCAAAGTGTAGGGAGGATTAAGCCCGTGTTGGGGTGGCTCTTCCATTCGGAAAGGATTTAAAGTTTCCCAATGTTGCATAATTTAATTTTAGGGAATTAGCTCTTTGTGAAAATTTGGAGATTTGTTTGTTGCAATTCAAGGCAAATCCCAGAAAGAACTTCTCCTTTGTGGAGGAGCCACTTCATAAGTGGTGGAAGTCACTGATGATGAAATGGAGACTTTCTATCCTTTTGATGTTTTGATTATGCCCTCCCAGGGTAGAGGTCAGGAAAGGGGTGAAGAAGAGAGAAAAGACAGGCCCATTAAATCTTCCTCAGGCCTGCTGCCTGGGCCTCTTCCAAGCTCACTGCTAATTCTATTGGCTGGGATGCATGCCAAAGAGAAGTTCAAATCCCACCCCTGACTGGGTTTAGTAACTGGTTCTTGAACTACACTTCCTGCTGTCTGAAGTGGCTCTCCTCAATAAGGAATGTCTCCAGAATTCATTTCAGAAGATAAATAAGCTCACAAAATACTACATCACCCTCACACTAGGTATTCTGGAAATGTATATCTGAGGAGCCAACACACATCACTGAAGAGCCTCTACTAAGCCCCAAGTTTGTAGGGTTTCCTTGGGTATTACAGGCTAGCAGCCTTTGTTCTGGAGAGATGACTCAGTGGCTAAGAGTCTACATTGTTCTTCCAGAGGTCCAGAGATCGGTTCCCAGCATTCACACTGATCTGCTCACAACCACCTGTAACTCCAACTCCAATGCCATCTTCTATCCTCCCAAGGCACCTGCCCTTGTGTGCACATGCTCCACACACACATGCATACATGCATACATACATACATGGTTTAAAGCAAAGCATTTTTACAAACAAGTTATCTGTCTTCATCCAGGCTTGGCTTTCCTAACTCCGCTCTTTCACTAATCCACGCTTACCTCCAAACTGCTGCTTCTGACCCATTTCCCCCCATCATTGGTGTGCCGTTAGGAGAAGCCCTTCCCAACCAATGAGCTGCTATAAGCTGTTGAACCCTCTGTTCTTCTCACTGGGTACCATTAGCTTCACATCTGCCTTCTGTCTTCCAGATTGCCTATTGGATGTCCTTCTTTTTTAGAACCCGTGGACAAGGGCTGTGTTCATTTGGTTTGTATTTTGCCCTACAGTGCCCTACATGGTGTCTGAGCTACAAATTCGTCTAAAGGGTGTCTGCAACTGGCTGAACGAAGGCTATCAGTTACTCAGTGTCCAATGACATTTTTCTTGCTTGGGGACAGCAAGACCCCCATCTTCTCTCAGGTAAACCTTAAAAATTACTTTCTAAAGTTATTGTTCCATTGTTACCTCTGGGGAATCAGCAGATTTAATCATTTATCATCGCCAGACCCTTTCAAAAGCATCGTCATTCGCAGGGGGCCGGGGGCGCCTGGAGAAGCTGTTTCGGTTGGCTTGTGCCAGCTGCTTCCTTCTTGCTCTTCCTTTTCTCCTTTTCCTCCCTCCATATGGCTGAGAGACTGTTTGTGTGCTCCCACAGTACGCCAGCTACAAGACCCAGCTGGAAGCAGTCAAAGACAATTAGAAATTATCAGGCTGGCACTGCCAGGAAGTGAGAGTTGGCCGAGGAGGGTTAGGCTGGCAGGGGTGGCATGGTAGCTGGAGAAGCAGCAGCAGAGCAAAGGCGGAGGACATGGAGAAAAATTGCTTGGAACCCGTCCTGAAAGATCAGCGAATCGGACCTCGGCGAGCCAAGCCGCCGGTAAGTAGCAGACTCCGGATCTGAACCGTGTCCCCTGAGTTCGTGGCCGCTGTGATTCCTGCCACACAGCCAGCTGTTGACTGTGCTCAGGGCAGAGGCTGAGGAATGAGGGGTTCCCCAGCCAGAAAGTCTGGTGTGCAGGGGCAGCCTTGCATTAGCTGTGTCCACACAACAGTGGCTTCTCATGAGGGAATAGTGACCTTTCACCTCTCTGCCTCAGTTTCCTTAACGTATAAAGCAGTGTTAGCTCACTCGCTGTCATATTATAACTCGCCTTCCTCCTTGTTCTCTCGTTGGTCTTAGTTGCTCTTCTGTCGCTGTGAAGAGACACCGTGACCAAGGCAACTTACAAGGGAAAGCATTTAATTTGGGGCTTATTTTTCCTGAGGAGAACAGGCTCTGTGATCGTGACGACATGCTTGCCAGTGGACGGGCATCCCTGGGAAAATAGCTGAGAGCTTTCTTGATGAAACAGCCTCAGGACACAGAAAGGCTAACTATGAAAGGCGTGGGCTTTAAAACCTCAAAGCCCACATCCAGTGACACGCCTCCTCCAACAAAGCCACACCTCCTAATCCCTTCCAAACAGTTCCACCAACTGCAAACCGGGCTTTCAAATACATGCGCCTACGGGGTCAGTTCTCATTCAGACCACCAGCACACCGAGAGAAGTCAGTTCATACTGTCCCAAACCCGGCAGACGCCTCATTACCTCCAGGTTGGACCCCTTTCCTCACTCCAAGTCCCATGGATTGACTTCATCACACCAGGGTGTCTGATGGGATCTCAGACTTGATCTGGCGCTGTGACCCACACCTCTCTGCTTTTCTTGGGCTTCACCTGAATTCAGCATCAAGCAGTCATCCTTTGTTTCCTCTCCGCCTTAACACTGCATCTCTCCCATCAGATAATCCTGGTCTCTACCTAAAACCATGACCCACTGGTTATCACCTGCCACTTCCACCCCATCACCATAGTCCAACCACCTCCCAACTATGGTCCTTTGCTTCTACACCAAGCCAAAACTCTCTCTTACCAATCAGGGACTAAGACACAGCTAAATGGTTCCAAGCACCAGCTGGCCTTCGAAAGAACCCAGGTTCCAGCAACCATATGACCCTCACAATTCACAGATCCAATTTCAGGTGTATCTGATGGCCCTCTGCTGGCCTCTTTCGGCACTGCGTGCACGTGGTGCACTCATGCAGAGAAGCAGGCACATATAAAACAAATAAAATAAATCTCTTTTATTTTTAAACGGGACTCAAATTCTACCACTTCTTTGCTCCACACACCCATGTGCCTGGCATATTGCAGATGCTCAACCGAGAACTTCATCTTATTGATATGGGAGAAGAAGGTGGTTCTGGGCTTTGGATGGACATGGCAAGTAGAAGGTGACGGGATGTGGATGGTGCTACCAAGCCAAACCTCCACAACTGCTTCCCACTAGCCACCACAGTGACATCCTGGGGGGGGTGCATTTTTACACAAGATGACAATGGTTCACCCTCTAGGAAAGCTGTACTTTTTATACAGTTGTGCCCGCCTCAGTCCCTGGGAACCAAAGGATGCTCTGTTGCAGGAAGAGCAATGTATCCTGCAGCATCAGGGATCTCGGGACTCTCAGATTCCAAATCCCAAATGGGGGCATTGAGGAGGAATGGCGCTGAAATCACTCCACAGGGAAGACGCCGTCGCGCAAATCACTCCACAGGGAAGACGCCGTCGCGCACAGTCCTCCTGCGGGTCAAAGCGGTGTCCCGTCTCACATCAACACCAGTGCCCTCCCCCCCCCCCGTCACTTCACAAGGCCCTGAGATCTGCATCTCACCCTGGTACCCACATTCTTTCCCATGTCTCGTGTCACCTCCCTCATCCCCCCTCAGTCACCCCACTCCAGCTGCGGTAGATTGCACAGGAAGCCCACTGCCCTGTGGACTTTCTGCACCACCTATTCAGATGTCGCCATCCTGGGCCTTTTCTGTTACCCTTTCTCTGCAATACAAACAGACCCCACCCCTGCGCCTACCTCCGTATTCTTTCCCTCTTCTATTTTTTTCATAGCAGGCACTGTCAGCTGAGCACTGACATGGTTTCCTTTATTGGTTGTATCCCTGCAGGACCTACAGCCTCATGAGGGCTGGGATTTTGGCTAACTGTGCTGTGCATGAAGCCTGACTCCCGGGAGGAAAACAAATACAAATTTGGGGTGGTTGGTGGAATCTTTAACTCACCATAATAAATAAGACAGAAAAAGAGAAATTGCAAGA